TGGCATTCTGTGTGATTTTTAGAATTGAAATTTCAATTCGAAAAACTCACGTGAATTATTTACACGTGAAAGCGTATAGAAAAATGTATTCTTACATTTATACGCACATTTATCCGCACAACATCCGGCGAACGGCTCTTTACGACCATTTATTAGTTTAAAATTATTTATTTGAGTGTCATCTTTCTCGAATCATGATCATCGCTCTCCGTGTTACGAGAAGAAAAAGGATATGCACACACTTTTCGTGTAAAACTAACTCCAAAGCACACTCTCTCAAACCGATGAAGTACGTAAAGCCGATGGCTTGTCTCAGACCGTTTATCGGTGCTTGTACGCACAAACATTGAGTCTCTTGTTCGCGTATAGTTCGCTTCGTATGCAATTTGGATGACAAGCCGCGCTTGCATGCGGGCGATAACAGCTTCCTGTGACGGGCAAACGACGTGCACACACGTCGGATCGCGATCACGTTCAGAAGCAATTATCAAGCCGCGTCGGCCGCGTTGACTCCGCGAGTCGCAGCCCGCGTCGGCCGCCGTGGGTTACGAAGTGGGTCAGTGTGGAATTTTGATTGGCTCTTTAAAGCGCAATGGACGAACGAATGCAAAACCTGCCGAGCGATGCGCGGAGGATACGCAAAAGCGCTTCGCTCGCACATGTGCAACGACGACGACGACGACGACGTTTATGGGAGCGAGATTGACGTCAACGCGCGAATAAAAAAAAGAATGATCGCGCGTAAAAACGGTCCTGCCGAATATACGAGGGCGCGCGAAGAAACGCGTCAATGGCCGCGAGAGAGAGAGAGAGAGAAAGAGAGAGAACGATCGTCTTGCCGAAATTTTTTTCCCCCGTCGCTTCCACGTCCGTGTTTCAACAACCGCGAGAACTTCTTATCCGGATTTGTGCGCCGGATGCGCGTTTATATGTTCGCATATAAAATAAGAGAATGTTCACGGAGTTTTCGTCGTAATTCACTAACCGGATGTCTCGAATGTGTATCGCACATTTATTTTTGTAGAACAATTATTTTTTCATCAAACTTGCCGTTTAGTTTTTCACGGTAGATTTCAACATTGTAGATTTCGATATCGTCAAATATAGTAGATTCGATAT